TCAGGCTCCTCCAACAGCCAGGGGCAAAGGGCAGCTTGTCACCTAAAAATCCAGTGACAAAAGGCATTTCGTCACATTGGTCACCCAGATGAGGGCTATCAGGGGATGTGACTGTTTGGGGGATACTATGTATTCACATTTTTGGTACATTCCAAGTTTTGGGGGAAAATATGTTTTACTGCCTGGAGATAATTGAGTTATTAATTAAGCTGACTCAATTATCTCACAGGCAGAGAGGAGGGGATAGTCTGTTTGCAGTGGGTGTGTTCATTTTTGTCACTATAATGTTATTGGTTGTAACCTTTGTGTCCCTGTCCCCCACAAGGTCCATGTGGGAGTGGCCCTTGCATGGGGACTTGCCTAAAAGCCAGTGTGGCACCATTAAAGATTCATTCCTGTTGTACCCTTCATGAAGTCTAGGCTCATGTTTTGATAACCATCTACTTGCTGAAGAGAAACTACTTGTAAGCTGCATTCATCTGAAACTATTCGTATCTACACTTGAACTGCAGCTATAATCACTCAGGCTTGGCAGTTCAGGAGGAATAGGCGAACAGGGAATATACTATACCAGTGTTCGTAACAGGAATCATTTAGCAAAACAGGCAAGTGTTCACGTATGCCTTTTTTAATATCTCCATATTGTTTATTATACCTAGTCATAAAAGCATACTTTAAAAGCTAATTTTCTTTAGTTTTTGTTTCCATAAGGAGATTGACCCTTTTTGTTTTTAGACATGACCCTAATCTACTTCTCTATACTGGTTTTGTTGTATGCCAACTGAATTCCTTTTTACTTTGACTAATAAAAATAAATGGCTTCCAAACCTAAATTATGGCTAATGACTGTATACAAGGTTTTCATGTCCAATGTGGCCCAATTAAAATTCTCTGCTTGTTCTAGGTTCTCCCTCTCTTGTAACAGAGATGCCATGTCCTTTGTATAAGATGAAGCTTCCAGGGCATATTTTTGGAAGTAAAAATCACTATAAGCTAAAAGGTTGGCCATAATGGAATTAACACCACTGATAATGGGATGTCCAGGGGGAAATCAGAACATAAAATTGGGAACACTGAGATAGTGTTCAAGCCTTGTTAAATTGTTTTATGGGGTCTTTTTCCATAACTTTACATGTATTTAGATCACCCAAAATGTTTGCAGACTCTTGTAAATAGTAATGTTTTGTCATAATTATTATAGCCCCACCCTTATTCGCTTCTTTGAATATAATCTCCTCTCTTTCAACTAAAGCCTTCAAACAAGATCTTTCTTTGTTTTGTTAGATTAGTCTTCTTTTGTTTTTACCAGAGTTTTAAACACAAGAACATTTTCTGAGCACAATGGCATCAAATGGTGGCAGGACCTGGAAACGAAGAGGAAGAAAAGGAGAACCAGCTGGCATCACTGAAAACCAATGGTATTATTCTCAGGACAATCAGGACAATGGGTATTTAAAAGGAACAACAGAGGGGTGGGTAATTTGTACCTATTTTTTTTTTACTGTTGGTCTTGTGTATAAGCAGTTGTTTCCCTGAAGAAGTCCCTGGAGGGATAAAACACGGAAGACTGGTCGACTGGTGTAAGATCATGCTTTTGCCAGGTGTGCTGTTTTAAACCTGTATGTAAGTAAATAAAATTATCTTGTACTTTACCTTGCATTTGCGCTACATTTTTGCACTTTTTCTCTTTTAAC